ATATTCAAGCCCCGCCCGGACAAGGTCCTGTGCAGCCTGCTGTAGGTGACCCTGCTTCGGCAGGGGGGTTGGACTAGATGATCCACAGATGTCCCTTCCAACCCTGAACATTCTGCGTGTGATTCTGTGTGCGAAAGCCAGTAACGCTTCCATGAGACCTGTAGCTAAGAAATCCTTTCTGAGTGGACAGGACTTTGGCTATCCAGCTGCTATATCCAGCACTTCCGAAAAGCGCTACAGTTCATACAGGAATCGGACATACAGAGGCTTCTTTGAAATGACACAGCTTTCAAACAACAAACCCACTTCTCAATAGAAAAAGTGGCTAGGAATTCTGGTACCCCTTACCACCAAGTTTGCAGGATGTAGCCTGACATGCATTTTAAGCAACACAACAACAAAAAAAAGGCCTTTTCAGTTTAAGATTTTTTTTTCTTCTAAATTGGTCCTGATCTGGTTCACCTTTCAGGTCTGATGGATCTTGCTGGCATAATGGCAGGAGAACAGTCTGGAGTGGAAGTTGTGGCCATTCTCCTGGCTTGAACGAGTACACAGTGTAGCCTCAGAAAGGGGCAAAAATGCTTTAGTTTGAATACTGCAAACAGAAATCAGTTACACATTCCTTGCTTCGCACTCTATTAAGCAAAACAGATACTGGAAGAAACCCAAAACAAGCAACGCCTGAACAGACCACAGACTGTTGGCAAATCATCAGCTAGAAAAAGCTCAAACAGTCACTTTTAAGAGGACGGCAAGATCCAGCCCTATTGCACAACTTTTCATGTAGTTTGAATCTCGGTTAATACCTGTTCTTGAGAGCAGCACTGGGGACAACTCTAGACTGGTACAGGTATCTCACATGGACCACTGAAAAGCACTCAATGCTAGCACAGATAGAGGCTGCTGCCTGGCTGTACTTGCCTCAGTGATGACGACTCTACAGAGCAATCACCAACACCAATTGCTGGCACTAACTCTGTTCTCAAAATCAGCAAACTGAAGGAAACCTGTTATAAGAGAAAAATTCTTAAGCCATTTCAAGTGTGCTTTTTCACTGTAGGAGTTATCTGTCAGGTTAGTTGGTCATATGACCCACGTTCAAAAGCAAATACAGTTCTTCGGTATACACCACCACCTCGTGGCCAGATGCCCGAAAGTCCCATAACTGAATATATTCTGCAGTTTGAATTTTGAGAGCCTCTGAACAGAATGCCACTGACAGATCCTCAAACTGCACTGACACTGTGTGAGCTGCTCACAACTGTTTAATTACCCATGAAGAGGGAAAAGTATCCTATAAAATGCTGCACCATTTCAGTTTCAAGGCAGCTTCCATATCATAAGTGCAAGCTATCTAATTCGTCCTACAGCCAAGGAAGCTGCTACCTACTAGGCAAATGAGACACCAGCATTTGTATTTTTGACTTTGAATGCCTCAAAACTAGTACCGATTTCCCCTTTCTTACTTCCACAACGAAAAATGAAAACTGAGACAATAGAGATGAATATGCTGAATTTCTTCTGCTAGTGCATTAATTCTACTGATCTCAAAAAATGCCTCTAGTTCCTCAAGTAAAAAGGGATTTCAGAAACATTCCCGTATTTACTTTAACTGAGGTGAAAACATCAAAGTATACTAAAAAGCAAGAATCAAAAGCCTTGCCCCCGCAGTAACCAGCACACAAGACTGTAAAAGATACACAGCAAAATATTCTGAAAGCAATCTAAAAAAGTGCGGCAAATAACAAAGGACAGACAATAGGGAAAAGAAGGCGGCCAGAAAAGCTAGACAGAACAAAAATCAAACACAAGACAATACTGTGTCTTAGATAAGACTAAGATGACTTACCTCTAGCTGGAAATTCCTTATGCTGTTATTAGGCTGATCTGACAAGTAGGATAGTAAATTGGTCTATTGCTCCAGAAATTCCAAGCCTACATATACTAACAGATAATTATAAATGTGTCCAGTGAATGAGTTACCTGTCAAAAGTGATAAAGAGGCTCTGTTTGGTTTCCCCCTTCCACATGCTTACTGTTAGAAAGACTCACCAACAGTTGTACCGTCTTCACCCATAATGCACTTCATGGAGGTGATGATTTGCTCCACAACAGGAGGTGACAACGACGTCGCATACACAGCACTGTGAGAGTATGTTCTGAGGTAATCAATCAGTTCCTAGCAAAACACAAGAGACATCAGATATTGCCGTCCCAGCACTGAGAAATGCTTTATTGTCATGCCTTAATCATACAATAAAATGGGCCACCGCAAGAAATCTCTTTCAGAACATCCTGCAAGAGAACAGGTATTTCGAGGATTGATTTTACAGTAAAAGTAATAAACAGTTGAGAAGTGGAACAGCAGGGACACGACAACCCATAATCATGTCACAGGGCAAGAATTTGTGTTGATCAAAGACAAATGCCTATGACGGACTTGTTTAGCTAACACCACCAGCACTGGCTTGCAACAAGGTCTTTCCATTACTCAAACTGTGCACAGGCTGTGTTTCAAAAATGTTTATTATAACAGCAGGAGTATAAAACAAATGAAATAGTGGGTAGCAGGATCCACAGGTGCTTATGTTTAATGCTCAATATAATTGTTTCCCCACAAAAGTCACCAAACAGTGGAATAGGTCACAAAATATTTTCTCCCATTTATCAGCACAACATAAATAAAGCAGCAGGTGTAATTTAAGCATGCAAAAAGCCTAACCCTCCTGCATTTCCCAGTTAAACACACCTGCTACATTTGTTACAGGGCACAAGCAGGTCATACAGGAACAAAGGACCAACGCACTGTAGATCTAGGCTGCTTGTTGTTAACTATAACAAAACCACTCTGAAAAACCCAGACCACTCCAGCAAAATACTACAAAGACCAGTATGAATGCCAGGACAGATCCTGTCTTCTGTTACTAGAAAATTAATAATGATGGCCCTGTAGATAGCACAAGCGGGGAACATATTATAGAAATACGTGGAAGTGTTCAATTTTATGTTGTTGTCTACCTGGAGTCAGAGCTAAATGAAAGGAATTTGTAAATGGACTTTGAAATAAACTAGGTAAGAAGATGTAAGGCCTCCTACCTCTGAAGCAATCCCTCAAACAGTAGCTAAAACAGTTGTAAAGGACTCTTAGCTGCTCACCTTATGCCAAGGCAGTCAATCCCACTAGCTCACTACGTTTAGAGAAAGATTAATATGGTGCTTTCTTCTGGGGAAGATGTCAGAGTAATTTTAATCCAACTGTAGTAAACTCCCAAAGAGGAACATCTCTGCTGGGACGAACTGAAGTAATTGTCACTATTAGTATCTAAAAAATTATTGTTCTGATAGGAAAATAGTAGAATTTTACTCTCAAATCAAGGTTAGAAACCTGATCTGCAAGATGCATTTACGGACATGAGAAAGGGGACAACTGCAACTGTCTACACCATCCCTCCCAAAAGGAGGGGTTTGGCAAGGTCAAGACTTTCTAGTAGTACTTTCCAACAGAAGAGAGTCAGTAGCCAAAAAACAACCCCACAAACCAACCCATCAAAACAAAAACAAAAAAAAACCCACAAAAAGGCAAGAAGTGTCTTTTTTAGAAAGCAAACTGAGTCCAGAGGGAATCAATTCTCCCAGTCTAACCGAAGAAGTGGATTTTCCTCCAAACAGGCTGAAAAACTTCAGCTTTTGGCATTTTCCTGCAAGTCTCGTTAAAAGTAACATTAAGAAACCCCTGCTTCCTGGCTCCTAGCAGTTCCTGAAAAGATACTACACTACTACTATACATTCTGCAAACTGCTATGATCACTGACCATGTGAGAACTATACAATTATGAGGTATTTTACTAGACTAGACTCTTCCGCATTGCACAGGCTTTCACTGTACTAGACAGCATGTAAAATTATGAAACAAACGGACAAAGTACTTGAGAAACAGATCAACTTTGAAATGCTTAGTGAAGGGCTCCACCACCAGCCTGAAACATCCATGAGATTCCCAGCTTTTTACCTTCTTGCCCCCAATGTATCCTCCAGCAGCTCCAAAGCTTTTGGTGAATGTTCCCATCATAACATCCACATCTTCAGGACTGAGTCCAAAATACTCGACTACACCTCGGCCATTGGGACCCAGGGCACCTATACTATGAGCCTCATCAAGGTACAGATAGGATTTGTACTTCTTCTTTAGGGCAATCACTTCAGGCAAACGGACTATGGATCCCTCCATACTGTCGAGAAACAGAAATTCAGTGTAAGTTGATTTAATGGTTGGGGCCTCCTTATAAAGCCTACAGTCACTAAACTTTATTTTCTTATACTCTTTCAGTAATTATGAACACATAAAATTTGCTAGACACATCGCGTTCTGTGAGAGAGATGAAGGATAACTCCTCCTTGCACCTGGGGCCCAGATCTCTACTTTCAACATCTCTGGGATGCTGGCATATGAACTAAATAGTAGCAGCAACAGTAAGTTAAGGCAAAGGAATGTGTTCAGTGACAATTTTATATATGAATTATCTCATATTTTCTTCCACCCTAATCTCAGCATTCTGATCTGACATGTACTTACCTCTTGTTTTTATGTGTAAGAACTGACTAGGCTTTCATTAGCAGCATTCCAAAACATCCCATTTTGTGTTGAAAGTCACTACTATTTAAATGCCTAACACAGCTAAGCCTACTACGTGCTCCTATCCACTCTCAGCAAAAACATTCAATTTGTGCAATTCCATTCACACTAGCATCATCTAGTGAGCACAGAAAGAATGGAATGTACAATCAATTTAAGATCTCAGCTCTGATGTAAACAATCAGTTTAAATTCTACAATCTAATCAGGACGTGGTAAGCACTGTGGTAACATGAGGTGAAGCTACAGTACTAGCAACAGAAAGTCCAGGATGTGAGACACACATAGCTCAATTTAATTTGTAGATGAAATGAATGAAATAACTATGAAGCTACAATATTAACAGTTTGATTTGGTAAAGGAACCCAAATACTAAGCAGCTAGATCTCATGTGGAGGGTCTTAGGAATATAAAGAATAGTTTGTACCTGTATATTCCTTCCACCAAGATAAGAATTTTTTTCCAGGGCCTCCGTGTACGAGGTTGCCCATGCACAATAGCATCTTTGAGCAGCTTCTCCAGGCTTTGCATATCTGCACCAGAAATTACTGTTAAATGGTACCAAAACAGATACTAGCTAGAGCTTTGACATGACTAGAGACAGCACTACTCCAGAAATGCACAAACTGCTCCAGTGTGGAGCACAGACCATACATAAGTCAATAAGCATGGGCTTCATCTAGCTGCGGGCCTACAGATGAGATTAAAGGGAATGAGTGACTGTATGAACTCCAAGGAAGAACTTCATCATCGTAAGCTAAAAGCACAAGTTAGAGCATTAAGCACAAACAGCAAGGAAGAAAGGAAGGAAAAAAAGAAAAACACCAGAAAAAAAGGAAGGTATCTCACTGTGAGGAAAAGAGAAAGCAATTTAGGTAGTAAGCATGTCCTTGTGGATAGAAAAGCATGCTCAGGGATAATCAACTAAAGATAAGTAGAAGATGGACCAAAGTGCAGGACAAGAAGGAGAGCAAGTGTATTTTTTCATTACTTTGTTTAAAACTGAAGGGACTGGAGGTGTGGAACAGGGAGATACTAACTCAAAAACAGAAAAGGAAGAAAAAAGAACCACCAGTGTAGGAAAGAGGACAGTGCTCAGCATTATCAGAAACTAGACAGATGAAGTTATTAGTAGCAATGTATTCTGAAACCTTACTAGCTCTGGCTACGAACACTTGACATGATCCTAGGAGACGCAACTGATGTGAGCAAACAAATACACATGAAATCAGCCCTGAAAAAAACCTGAGGAAAGGAGTAGAGATGAGAGTAATCAAACCATAAAAGCTAAAGTGCTGAGCCAAAGATGGATATAAATACTAGGGTATGAAAAAGAGCACAATGATTAAAAGAGGACTGGTAGACTAGGGCAGTTGCAGCAGCAAGAGAAACTTGTGAACTAGAGCTAGACTAGAAATACACAGCAAAATAGGTCAGTTAATAGACTGTTAAAAGACAGCTAACGTTCAGAAAAAGACAAAGATGAATTTAGCAGTGGAGTCTGCCTCCAACAAATCTCTCAAGGAAGCAAGGACGAGTTCAGTGGAGTTAGGGAGAACAATGGAATATAAATGTCTGCTCTGATCTCAAGAAAGAGGGAAGGATGGGAATTAGGTCTGACCTTAACAAAAAGCACAAAGTGGAGAATAAGACAGGAAAAAATGAAAACGTTGAAAAAGGATTTTAAGGATTTTTTTTCATTTTTTCCATAATTATTAAAAAGCAGAATATGAATGAAGCCATTAACATCTCAGGAAAACGAAGTTAACTAAGGCAGCACAGACTATAACAGGAGTAGGACTGAACACATACATAATCATGAATCGAACATCATTCTGACAGGCCAAGATCATTGCTGCATTTTGCCTTCTGATTCTAATCTGCCATTCCATTCTCCTTCACAGATCCCCACCATCTATAAGGTATCTAGAATATCTGCTGGTTTGTACCCTGTTCCCACAGATTATCTATTCTTCCTCATCACACCAGAGCTTCTAAGTCCTTCTCCTCACACCCAAAACTATGTTTGACACCAGTATTATCTGAAATTCTGGAACTGGATGCAATGTTCAGAAATACGTTTGTACAAATGCAGAAGATGAATGCAAAGCTTTTGCGATCTTGCCCAACAATCAAGATTTATGAAGAATTAAGGAAAAAAAAAATCACTGAACATTACAGTAAGCTCTACACTTCTCTAAAGAAAACCATTCAAATGAGAGAACAAGAAAAACAGAACACAAAAGAAACAATAAGCACAGCAGAGGATCCACTGTGACACAGGACAAAGAAAGAAAAAGAATTCTGGCCACCCAAGCTTTGCTATCACCATCACACACTTCAAAAAGAGCAAAAGAGTCATCGTGATCTCACAGACTGATACTGTAAAGAGTATTAGGAGCAGCTGAAGAACGAAGGTAGTGGCTTTACTAATCAAGGACAAACAGGTACCTCTTTCACTGCGAATGAGAGAAGGAAACCCTAAGTATTTTCAATCTGAAAGTTATTCTAAATATCTGCTTTGGAGGAAGCTGAAACTAGCAAAGTGAAAATTCTCTGTATTTTGGAAACAAATACTGAGAGCAAGTAACTCGGTGAAATTAATCTATGCTTCACACCCTAAAAATTCCTTTTGTACTGCACTGTACCAATGCACAGCTGTCTAATTTAGCTAGGACATCTACATTTGTAAGCTTTTGTTACCGTAGGATCATGTCAGCATCTGGTCCTAAAATTAAACTTTGTTATCCTCCAAATTACAACCTAGACCACTACAAGACTGCATTACTACGTGACATGGACTGTTCAAACAATCTAACCATGCTGAGCTACCCAAGTAACAAGAAGCCATGTAAAAACACTAGTGCCCCTAGACTTGCCAAAGGCCAGCATGTTCCTCTTCATATGCAGAAGATGTAAACCAGAACAGCTTCAGGATAAAAATCTTATTAGTTGAGACTGAACATATCAAAAAGTATCCAATTCAGGGTGATTAAATTCTCAGTAGCAGCAGTCTTCTGACCTTCCAGGTAACCAGCAATCGATTTCCTTGCATGAAATCGGATTTCCAACTACCAGAAGATAGAAGAGATTGTAGCTGATCTACAGCATCTGCAGAAAGGCAGAGTCCACCATCTGATACTTACTGTTGTGCTTAAAGATTCGAATAGTTGCTCCTGACAGTCTTGCTCCAAGCACTAGTGATGCATGATTCAGTTCATCACTCAAAATCAGACAGCCCTGAATTAGAAGGGGAAAGAGGAAGATATTGAAAAGGTTACGTTTCACAGCCAACCATATAACACCTTTCAGCTCTGAACTCCTTAGAGATCATTTAAGAAAAAAAAAAAATTTGCAACAGAAACGCAGCTAGTCCATGCAAGACTTGCTAAGAAACAATCTGCAGCCTTAGTACGGCAAGTAAAAATTCACAACTGCAGTTAACCGAAAGAATCACTTCAGTTTCACTTTCCCCAGAAGTCCTGCAGCTGAATCTGCCTGAATATCTCATGTTGATGATTAATACATATCCTCCTATGCAGCCAGGTAAAACAGAGAGCAGAGCAGCCTGCCACAGTTGACTCGGCGAGTCTACAGTGGTGACAGGAAACAGGCCACCGAAGCCCTAGATTAAAGACCGTATCAAAGTCGCACTATTTCTTACATGAGGGGGTAACCAGTGACTAAACCTATGTGTGCTCAGTGGTACCAAAGGGACAAATTTTCTTTAATGAACAGAACTATTAAGTACTTTGTAGACAGAGATAACATACAAGAGACAGGAAGTGGAAAATAAAATTGCAGAGTGAAACTGAGAAATTTTCTGAAGCCATTCAACATTAGGTTGAAATTGTTTGCTTTTTCAAAAAAGGGAAGATACATCCTTGGAAAAAATATCAAAACAGGATACGTCTGTTTTGAGAGCAGCAATCATTAGAGGTCAATAGCTGATATGCTGAATATTCAGTCACAGTGTTATCGCTGTAGACTACAGAAATGCATATTGGGGGATTAGTTTGTAAGAGAGCAATAATATTCTAAATAACCTTGGCCCACTCCAACTACTATGCAAATCTGCTGGAACTCTAGAATTGACTTTGTTGAGTTAAAAATCCATCAACTATGTCAAGATGCTGAAGATTTGACACTTAAACACATGCTCATTCTATGTTTCTCTACTAACAATCAATGGAGAGAAGAGTCAAGAACATTTCTTCTCTGCAGCCAGAGTTACTAGAAGGGACTGTGAAAAGCATTGCCTACAGTTACAAAAGGAGGTGTCGCAGACAAGAGGAGTATTTTGTCCGCAATAAAAGAAATTTTGCTCTAGAATTGCGATTTAACTAGAAATATTCTATATCCTGGGAAACTTCAAGACTGGTTTTCCACATAAACTGCACTAAATCTCAAGCGTTTGAACTGCTTTTACAAGGATTCACACTGCATATTTCAGAGACTTTGGCACAGGAAGCATGGAAGTCTGCAACCAGCATTTGCTCTTTGGAACTACTATACCAGACTAGGACTACGTATACTACGCAGATAGCATTATTGTTAAACACTACTGTACCAACAACTGAATATATCCTTCTTAAATAGTAGGAAAAGTGATAGATTAAAAAAAGAGGCAGAAGAGGTCTAGAAGGAGCTTCTCCATAAAAAGAAGTACAAGCTTTTGGTAAAGAAGATTCAACAAATCGGTGAGCAGCCTCTTTTCACACACACACCAACACCTTTCCGCCCCGTCCGACAACAGAAGAGGACATTTAAAACTGAAGAGGAATTAAAGAGTCTAGTCTTGTCTGCTACTATACAGAGAGAGCAAAGAACCAAAGTAGCCACTGGTACAGTACAGCAACCACTGATGATCATACATAAAACTGAGTGCTGCTACTACAATGATAAGACTTCAGTTGCATTTATCAGCAAACTTACATTTGAGAGAGTATCCAGGAGAAGACTAACACTAATGGAGATCACACTACTGGTATCAAGAAAAACCAACGCCAGCGAAGATCAGACTTTTTAGCACCATTGCTCTAACTCCATTATCTAGCCTCTGTCAGCCCAGAGCTATGATGAAAAGCTCTGTGCTACAGGCACTACAGAACGCTGTTATTAGCTAGTTTCAGTAACTACATTAATGACACTTACTCCAAAACAGGCAAGTTCCAGAGTCTAGCTTAGCCTCAAATGGTGTAACAACTTCCAACTGTGTAATCCTCAAATCCCACATTATCTGTGGTCTAGACTCGGAGTGCTTTGCAGTGACTGTACCAGGTAGCCGACAACTTGCTGTCA